CATGAAAATATTTTCCAACAGTTTTGAATGGAGATAACATCACACCCTCTTTGATATTTTCGGCAGATATTTTGGTTGCCATATCTTCATCTTCGGTAGGAAAATCCACACACCATAGCTTCAGACTGTCAGGGTCAACATTGGCAAAGGTATTTTCCTTCTCCTTCTTGATGAGTTTCTTGAGATGTCCAACGGTCTTGTCTTCACTAATATCAACCGGGAAAGAATTCTCAATGGCATCACCTAAAACGACACAAAAAATCTGGAAACTCATTAAAAAAATATAAAATTGTATTATTCAAAATTTTAAATACCATGATTTCTGCGGCACCGGATAACATTACGCGTATAAATTACCAAAAATGGTTATCGTGTTCGTGTTTAAAGTAAAAAAAAAAATGTTTGTGAAAAGTACGTAACTGACGTATTTATAATTGAAACTCCGCCAAGGAGTCATCCGCTTGCATAAATACATAACCTGTGTAACTTATTCTCATAAAATATCGCAGTTGACCAATAACATTTTACAAAAAAATAAATTATAAGCTATGTCTATCACGCTTTTTTGTCTTGTTCAAGGTAACCACGCTTCGCAGTTAAGATTAGGAGAGATGAACCTATTAGTGAATTAAAGGACGCTATCAAGGCGAAAAAGCACAAAACTTTCCATGACGTAGATTGCAGACAAGCTCAAACAATGGAAGGTAAAAATTCCTGACGATCGTGACGATCAGCTGAGCAATCTCTTACTCCAAGATAAAACCGAACTCCTTGCGACGAAAAAGATCTCAAAATACATCCCTGACTCACCTGCCTAGGAACATATCCATGTCATAGTCGAACCATCCACATCAACCACCACTTCGAATCGTGAACAGGAATTGCTGGACCGCATCGCATCGTTGGAGGGATTGCTTAACAAGTCTGTACATGATACGTATAAAAATGTCACGATCGGAAAAATTTCTTGGCAAAAACTGTTTCCCAAGGAAACGATCAGAATATTTTCAGAAAAAGAAGTTTTAACTCTGCCATTGCATTGTAGACTTCGATGTCGTCGTCCACAGGCAAATAAGTGGACTGCAAATATCGAACACTACATTTTTTTTAATTTCTCAATACGTAGATTTTTTTTTCGCGTCTTCCAAATTTTCTTTCACGATGGGGCGTTTTCTTCCGTCGTCGTAAGTATTGAAGTCCATATACTGCTTTTTCCATACCATACGTCACTTATGTCGTTTAATCATTGTACAAAGGCTTGTCGGGACGATACAGACATCAAAGTTATCCATTACCTCCAGAATTTGGTCAACCTTCAAACTCGGAAACGTTGGGAGAGATCATAGGTAGGGTCACGTAGGATCTTATAATCCATTTATTCTTATACCCATATTCTTCATTCTTATTCTTACTAATGAACATAATTTATTTTAGACCGTACGCCTCCGCAAGATTTACAAAAGGAATTGGGCAAATATATTATCCGCAAAATTGGAATCTCTATTTAAGACTGCGAGACAAGTGAAAATAACGGTGGCTCATTCCGAAAATTATTCCACGAAGTCCACAAATGAGCCAAATACGTTGATTTGAATGTTTTTCTTGAATTGCATAAGAGAATAATGAAAAATATGGGACAAAAACAGTACGTTAGGGACATAGGTGTGCTTAAATCCGCTTTTCATAGACCACAGTGGATGTGGATGTATTATTATTCAGAAGCTCAATCGATTCCATCACTGTTTAGAATGGCCACCGGCCTTGGAGAGAGCGTTATTAAGAATCATGCATTTTTGGATGGAAATAAGAGAGCTGGTCATCTTGCCATTTCCTTATTTTTAGCTGTCAACGATTATGATCTGGTCGCGGATGATGCTTCTACCGAGAAAATTACAATAGGTGTTGCAACAGGTGACGTTAATATAGATATTTTGGAATCTTGGATTACTAGTAATGCGAAAAAGAGAGAGTAGGGATTCGTACTCGTTTTTATGCACTTATTTTAATTATTAAAATTAATAAAACATGATTAGCCCGCCCACATCGGACTTATCTTTTTAATTGTGTAATGAGTATTGGGTCCATTTAACAATGTAATTGGCATTATGAAATAAATCAAAAGATAACGCGCACATGGTACATATGTAATAATCATAGAACACTTAAAGTTTTATGTTTATTCTATAAGACCCAATTCTCGAAGATGTTCTGGAATAACTATATATGGGTCTTCGTAATACCAGACATATCTTAAAACAATCCAGTTTTCTTCACAGAGTTCTTTTTTGATCTGATCACGCATTAATTGCTTCTCAAAGTCTTCCTCATTTTTATGAAAATATTTTATATGTTGCTCGTGCTGTTTACCTTGTACTTCTATGGCGAATCCATACTGTGGATAGTAGATATCAAGCTCTAGTCCTCGAGAATGTTCAGGTGTTTTCAGGAAATCTGGTCTGCGGATGCTGGAAGGTGGACCAAGAATATTAGTTATGACTTTGCGACACAGATTTTCATGCTTATTTAAGCAATATGGACACCAAGATTTAATATGCTTAATACTATTAAAACTTGCAAACCATTTATGCCCTTTATCACACATCCATTGCATCGGAACACAGAGATTTATATATTCCGTTGAAAGACACTTACCTCCTCTACTGTGAGCAATTTCCTTAGCTTCCAGAAGACCACAAGGAAAATTACCAGCACATTGTGAGCACCATCTTCCCATATTTTTTATTCGATAAAGAGTCATAGACCATTCATGGCCTTTGATGCATCTCCAAAACATTGGAGTAGTTGCATTAATATATTCTGTAGAAAGGCATTTACCACCTCGTTCTTGTGCAATATTTTTTGCTATATCAATATTGAGAAATCGACACTGCCGACACCAAGTTCCATTAATAATATCTTTTGCTGAAGCCTTCCATTTATGACCTTCTTTACACTGCCATTCAAGAGGATCCTGTCTATTAATATATTCAGTTGCAAGGCAAAGACCTCCTTTTTTTTCTGCATGCTTTCTCATATCTTCAATTGTTCGAGTACGACGATTTTCAACTGCACACCACGGGCACCATGTTTTTTTGTACCTTATACAATTAAGAGTTGTAGACTATTCATGACCAATGGTGTATTTCCAAAGCATTAGAGACTTACCATTAATGTATTTTTCAGAAAGGCATTCACCTCCTTTATTATATGCAATCTCTTTAGCAATCTGTAAAGATAATTTAATTCGCATTTATATTTTAATGTATATTTATGCCAATTCTTTAAAATCTTGGCAGATTTCCTCCCTTGAAACATCCTGCTACTCTATATTTTTACTTAGCCGACCTCTAACTCTCAATATATTCGTTTTTAAAAAAAATAAAGATATGATTATAGCTACGTGCCTGACCTTTTAATTATTGTATGCTGAGTTGTCTTTTGTGTCGCTGGCTATATTGTTTTTTCTTGGCAAAAGCGATCGGTGTGACAATTCGTCAGGCATACATGATTTTTATTCACACGAGAAAAAAAATATCATATCTCGTAATACTCCCAAATATGACGAATATATACAACTCATCTAATAACCCAATCCACACTAAAAAATGAATCGCTTTATTCTAGAGTATATAGTTATTAGTGGAACTAGCAAGGCTAAATCAAATAGGTCTAAATATCCTAATCGATAAATATGTCTGGTTTTGATATCGCTACTATTATTGATAAAAAAGATAAAACATTTCCTAAACCATATATTAATCGTCCTGGTTTTGATATGAAGTATGCTGTATCATATATATTACATTATGGTGGAACTTATGCTAATAAACTCAATCAAATTTTCGATAATGAGAGATTATTTGATACATTATCTATCATAAAACAGAATGAAACACCGGTTCAATGGGCAATACGGGTCAGAATACCTTTACAGAATTTATTAAATGCCGGGAAATTTAGTGTATATCACCGGCTATGTTTATTCGCATCATTTGGTAAAGGTAAATTTGTCAATTTCAATTATTATAGACCAAGAATCCATAAAAGTCATGTGGCTATTTGTTTTGATTGCTGGAAACTCGTAAAAATCGATGATGTGAATCCTAAAAAATTATTCCATTTTACTAGACAGAGGTATGTTGACTATCTCGAACCTAAAGACCTGATGCAGGAACATTGGGATTACGAATGCAATAAACCAAAGACTAATTTTGGAAAAGCAAGAATTATGCAAATAGCTTATCGAAATTATAAGAATAGACCCGAATCATTAGCCACTCGAGCTTGGAATTCGTTAAGAAATGATATTACTTCTGATGAGAAATTTTTGGGTTTAACGAGACGTAAAGTAAAAAATCCTCAGACTCGAGAACAATTTAATCAATGGCGTACTAAATGGATTGAATTATATAAAAACGATCCTATGATGCGCAGTTCCATTATTAATAGACAATATGAAGAATATTATATTCCGGATAATTGGATAAGTTTTAAAAAGAGTCAATTGCGGGTTAGATTCCGAAAGCGACTTTTAGAAATAGGGGCATAGACTTTATTTCGTTATCCTGAGGGTCGGTAACATTTTTTATTTTGATTTCTATATACATTTATTTTATCCGACACAAAAAACCCCCTCAGTACAAATAGAACTTATTTATTTTTCAACATCTACTTCAATCTCAATCAGGCTGGATACTGATAGCTATTTCATTGGAGAATAGTAGTGAATAAGATGTTAAAACCATCACTCTAACTTCACATCTGCTGGATAAGATCAGCTTCTCAATAATATAAGAAGTGGCAGATAGATGTATTATATTGCTGTTTTAATAAATAATGAGAAAAAAAAATAAATACCTGTTTATCCAATGGATATGCCTCGTTTTATTCATCTAATTTCAGAGAAGTGTCCCAACCTAGTCTAACTGCTAGAGGATCATCTACTGCCTTAGTAAAATCAAAAACCATGAATTCTCGATTCCACAAAAGTTTATCAATTATCTTGGATACTTTTTTTGGATTATCTGTATATTGCCATACGATTCTATAAATGTCGTCTCTAGATCCACTTCCTCGAAATAGGCATAAATGTGAGATATTTTCACAAATAATTTTAGGTGTTTGTGTATATTTCTGGCTTACATATATAGGTGAGACATTTTGATGCCGGCCACTAATGAAGTAAGAAATAATTCGTTCTTGTACTTTTTTTGATTCAGCGCATAGATCCTCAAATACAACAACTGTACTTCACTCTGGAGAGAATTTAGTTATATCTGGAATTTTATCTGGAGATATCCTTTTGAATGTGACATCTTCTTGATATGGTTTAGAGGCATTTGCAAAGATCTGAAAGCTATTTTGTATAAGTTGCCATTTTGGCTCAAAAATGTTTGCCAATTAATACAAGGTTATTGTTTTTGATATAACGATTTCCTTTCTTACCTTTAAACATTTGTTGTAATTTATTACCTAGCATAAGATTAATTATCATATTGGTTTTTCCGCTATTGGACCCTCCACATACAAGCAATCTGAATGGACCCTCTGATGAATATTTATTATCTTTCATTCATTCTGAGGAATTGTTAGATGTCTCATCAATATTGTATACAAATATGGGCATGCCTTTATCTTTCATTCTAACCAGGATAAGTAATATTTATTTTTTATATGATAAATAACCTCTCTCTTGTAATTTGCTTTTTATATAGGGAAATAAATCACAATCGAATGGAATACAAATAAGATCTATACCTCGCTCTTTGCATATATCCCGCTTTTTTTGATCACGCTTCCTCTGTGAATCTAAATCTATTTCTCCTCGTTTATGAAATATTGAATTCTGAAAATAATGTTGAACCCCATTAAATTCCCATGCCAATTTTAATTCTTCATTATACCCATTTAGTTGCATCCCATTCAAAAATAACAGTTTACACGATGGAAATTTTTTACCAAGCAGATCTTCGAAAATATATCTACAGCGATGCTCATTGGTGTGATGGAAACAAAGTGGGCACCATTCAAATTTCGTAGCTATTAATGGATATAGATATTCCCACTGATGTTTTCCATTTTCACAGGACCAGAGATATATATCAAAACCATTTATTTGGCTAGTTTTTTCAATGCAATGTCCATCTCACCTTTCAGCATAAGCCTGAGCATTAGCCATTTTATTAACAACACAAATAAAATTAACAGACCTGGAACGAGTATTTTCTTCCAATATACTCTGGGGCGGATATTGAACTTTTTCTAAATTTATGTATATAAGCTCCTTTCTCACAAATCCCTGCTTTGGAGGATATTCATCATTATCACTTCCAAGATAATATAAAACTGGTTTGTTCTTTGTTATCACAATTTTGCGAATTTTATGTAATGAAGGACTCCATACTGGATTAGTCATGTGATGTACTGTTTTCATACCTCCTTTCCACTCTGCATTAGCAAGCAGACAGTAAACTGTATCACCTTTCTTTAACATATTCTTCTCATATTTCCCAACAGAATGCTTATACTTTGTAGATGGCCTAGATTCTACTTGTTCCAGTTTGATAGCTTTTGCTAGAGCTAACCCCACTTCGAGAATCCAGGAGCTCTAATAAGATGTATTGGATAATTATTTAAATAATTTATTACTTCGGGCAAATACTTAACCCATGCTCTTATTAATTTAGGATCTGAGGATATACTTTCAACACTATATTGGATTTTATAAAGCATTTCCACAAGTGTCTTACAAAATCTGTCTACAATTGCTAGACCCCGATGACTATATGCGCCAATCAATCTAATCATTACATTATACTCTTTCATTATTTTACTCGTCTCACCCATAAATTCACGCCCTTGGTCGCATTATAGAAGTGTTGACCATACAAGTGGATTTAATGGATTATTATAAATTTTTTTGAAGGCTTTGGCAATGTCTGAGCTATTTTTTGATATAAGAGGAACAGCGCATTTGAAATGTGATGCAACATCTATAATAGTGAGTACCCATTTATATATTTTTTTATTAACAATATCATTTGTAAGGCGCAATAAATCACACATATGTACGCAGTTCGGATGTGAAATTTTTCCATAACTTACCCGTGGAGTGTTTTTCAGTGACGGAGTATACTTTTGCCATTCATTCTGATTATACAACCATTCACGAACTTTTTTATATGGGAAATTATATCCTTCCTTTTTACATGCCTATCTTAAAGCTTTTGCATTGGAATAATAGCCTGTAGGTCGGTAAAAAAACAATTTACAGATTAAGTTTAACTTCTCATTTGGATTGATTCTAATAATAGGCTTGCTCAATTTACTCATTTTCGTTATATTTTACTATAGCAATAAACTATGTTTCAGAAAACCAAGAGATAAGTCAATATAATATGCTATAAAAAATAAAGACAGAGTCTCATTACTTCGTAATAATCTTGGCATTTCGTAAACCCCGACCCCCCAATCGAATAACTCATAGATTAGCTACGGATAAAGAACTTGAGCTAGAACAAATTAACCAAGAACTTCAAGAGATATTGCAATCAGAGGTAGCTATCAACAAATCGAACGAGAAATATATAAAGGATCTGGAATGTAAATATATCTGATGTGAGAATGAAATTCAATCTCTCAATAAAGAACTGGAACAACTTGAGAATGCTTCGGAGAAAGAAAAGGTAGAATTGAGATCGGAAATATCATTCCTTAAAAAAAGCTTATATCAAGCTAAAAAGGAGATCTGAGACAAGATTTCTTATATCGATAATATAGAGAAACAATTACAAGAATCGGTAGAGCAGATTCAAAATCTAAAGCATAGATTCAAAGTTATTTTTTTCTGAAGAAGCTCTCCAAATTTATATAATTCAGAAGAGAAAGATATAGATATGGCGAATCTTGACCTTTTTATACAAATTGATCGAGGCTTAAATTGCATTGAGAATCATATTAGAGGAGCTGGAACACCATTAAATAACCCTATTAATATTATAAATGGTATTAGAAGTTCCTTGAATGCTGTCCGTCTCAATTACCAAAATACATTCCAAGATATAGATGATGTTATCGCTCAACGAGATAACAGAGATAATTAGATAGTCCAGTTACAACAGGATGTTAATTTCTATAGACAATGGAATATCATTTTGCAAAATCAAGTTAATCAGCTTACCCAAAATGATTTTCAGGACCAAGTCAATCAGATTACCCAAGAATGAGATAACTTACAGAATCAAGTTAATCAAATTATCCAAGAGCGATATAACTTATGAAATCAAGTTAACTGACTTACCCAAGAGCGTAACAATTATCAGAATGATCTTACTTTGATGACTACAGCTTATAATAACGAACAGGGAGAACATCGTTGCTGGTGATTCTCATATCATAATAAAAATAGACGTGTTGATAAATTAATTCGAGAAAAGTTCGCTATTCAATTATTATTACAGCAATGTCATACCAATAGTAGGGATTTACAACAAAGGTATGATATGCGAGGGCGTTTGTGATATAATATTACCTTGGCATTAAAAGAACAATCTAAACTTAGGCATGTTTTTGAAGTTTTGTATAGATTAAAAACTATCGATTAGAACAAAAATTGTGAAGATGTCAGGCCGATAAAGGATTATTAGAATATAATAGAGATCGGCTCTTTGATAGATATTACAATAAATTCAAAGATCGGAAGGCAAGTTATATCAAGTGGAAAAATAGAGAGCGTAATTCACAGCAATTAATTTTAAATTTACAAGCCCAAATTTTATTACTACAGAATAATCCATTAAATATGGCAGAAGCTAGACGTTTATCAATATTAAAATTAATACAACTGGCTATTGCAAGTTTCTTATCTTATATTGGTCAAGAACCTCCTGATGATTATTTTGATAAGGTTATACAATCATAGGCATTTGCTGAGAGACATATGACAGTTCTTGAAAATGCAAATGCAGGAGATTTCGATAATGCGGTCAAGTGTACTATCTTGAAATCTAAGATGGCTGGAAAATATACTTCAGTACCAGCTAATGATTCATATATTGTTGGTAATTCCCCCATTAATACTTCAGCAACTTTGAGGGCATGGGCAAGAACAAAATATCAACGAGAAACAGTTAGAACCAAACAATCTGCAATTCAAAGATTAACTCAAGAAAGATTTCAACCTTTTGATACTCCAGATATCTACGAAACTAGAATTCAACCTCTTTTGTTAGGTATACCCAATAATGATGCTCAAGTCTTGGGATTTCTTAAAAGTCAATTACCAGGTGAGCTTTTTACTTGGATGAGGTCCGATGCTCCAGTAGGTATTAACGAATTTTTCATTGTATTAAAAAATATGTGGTTAGAACATACTCCAAACCTGTATGGAGGATCAAATTTTGATCAAGTCTCAGCTGTTAAGCTGAAAGCTAGCTTTTCAGCTAACATATTACCTACAATTTCTTGGCCAGAAACCAGCTCATGCCAATTACAAAATAAATCTATGATACTGGTACAATCTCAACAGAAACGGTCTAATTCAGATGATTATCCTAGAGTATCAGATAAATATATGCCAGAAAGACCTTCAGATGGGTATGGCGTAAATTCTGAAAGATTTATTCATGCTGATATCATAAATCCAATTCCTTCAACTAGTCAAATTATGAAATCTCTAGCCAATGATCTTTATAAAAAATTGTCCGATATGTTTTCGGCGAAACTGGTACAATCGAAGAATAAAGATATCAGTACCGATGATATAAATGAAATTACTAAAGGTATGTCAAAATTATCATTAAATTTAGCAAAAATGGCAAAAGAGGTTAATGCCGTTAAAAAATCATCTCAACATCATCATTGTTTAAATTGCAATAGAACTGGACATAATTCTCGCAAGTGTACTTGTAAGAAAAGGTTCAAGAGCAGATCCAAAAAGAGAGGCAGTGTTAATAAGGTTGCTATAGATTTGAGTTCAGATACAAACTCTTCCGATAATAATTCTTCAGATAATAACTCTGATTCTGGGGATTCCTCGTCTGAGGTTGAATCCGATCATAGTTATGATGTACATATTTCTAATACAAAAAAAAACAAGTAAAGCAGAAGGGTAAATCAGATAATCCTTATTTAAAAAGCGGTCTGGTCCAAAGAAGAGACAGAGTCTCGAATCTCTGATTCAACGTACTTTACAAAAATTACAAAAGAAATCAGGTACGATTATCGACTTACAGATCCGAAAAATTATTCTAGATATGTTTAGTGATTCAGAGGTTATAGAAACAATTAGAAACAATATTAATAACACAAATTTATCTGTTACCAGACCTGATTTTATGAATTATCGAAATCCAGCTCCAGAAATATCTGATTCCGATGGGGAGGATGAAATGCTAGATGATCCTATGGAGATAGATTTCATTCAAAAAAAAGATCCAGCTATGGATGTCGTAACTACAAAATGCAAAATTAAATGATTAGTAATTCCGGCAGCCACAGTTGATCCTGGTGCAAATTTTCCAATTATCACAAAAGATATTGTTAAATGTTTAAAACTTATAATCGATACCAAAGAAAAACATGATCTTAGTGGAATTGCTACATCACCTATTGAATCTATTGGAATTGTCCATAATGTTTCAGTAACTTTCATCCCAGGCTGTACTATATACTCTGATTTTGCTGTTGTTAAACATCACAAGCCGATGCTAATTCTACCAAACACACTTCTCGACAAATATGATTATGATTTGCTCACGTCGAAACGAGAATTAAAGCTCATATGTAATGGTAAAGAGTATTTTATTCCTATAAATATGCACAAAGTCAAGAATAAGCTCGAAGTAAATTGCGCTACCACATCTCAAGGTAATAAGTCATTGGTATCCAATCAAATCTCACAAGAAACGGATAGTGATAAGGATAACAATGTACCATTAGAAGAATGGCATGCTCCTGCGGGGTTTAGCACAGATTCTGACAACTCAACTTTAAAAAAAAATATGTAAATTGTGAGATATATGAGAAAGAAATGCATAAAGCAACTAAAGTTATTACTGGTCTTAACGACCTTGTTTGTCATATAAGATCATTTAGTAAAGAAAATAAAGATTAGGTAGGATGAATAAAGTTCATCATTTATGATTTATCAATACTATATCCTGAATATGATAAATTTTCCTCCCCTTCTTTTACCACACATTTAAGATAGACTAGTTTATCTGTATCTATTTTTTCTGTTGAGTTCTCAGAAATGATGAGTGGATCTAATATCCGTACAGATCTGGATCTCTTTGTTTTTGTTCGCTTACTTGGTTGTGTTGACTTTACTGATGAGTTATCTATAACAGAGCCATCTACCAGGCGATGAATCTGAGATGAGTCAAGGACTTGAAGCTTAGCTTCCTCGAAACCCTGTCTCTCCTCTGAATTATGTCTCTTTGAGTCTAAAGGTTTGAACTTTATATGGATGACATTCATAGCGGAATTTGATTTATTATCAGAGCTAGTGTCAATGGCAAGCACGTAAGTATCATTGTTCCACAATAAGTCACGACTCTTCAACTCAAGACATTTGGTGTTTTGATATGTTAGGGATATAAAATTAGAGACATCATCATATGAGTATAGTATAGGCTGATTCCATAAAACTCTATTAGCTTTTACTCCCCTCCAAATCTGATAAATATGTTCTGTTGATGTTTTATACTTATCCGTCAACTCATTTAAAATTTTATATCTTGGTTTTATATCATGACACTGTATAATATATGAATAATCTTCTGATGTAAAAATAGGTGCATCATATTTCATACATATTCTAACCATAGTGATAAATACTTTATTCTTTTTGTTGATTTAAAAATATAAGATATTTATATCCAATGAAAAATATAAAATAAATCAAAAAAATATAATATATCAAATATATAAGTCTGATATTCAGTTAATACAAACGTCTAATCTAGTATATATATGTATTCCATTTTTTACATTTATCCTATATGATATATTAAGTCCAACATACATATATATTTAGCTTTGTTTATTTTATTCGAATATAATTTACAATTTATTTTTAACTATTGTTATGGATATTAATGAAGAATTATGTTACGCTACAAAAATTATATTCAATCTAAATGCTTGCAATGAATCATTGAAAGCTGATTAATTAAAGCGAGAGGAGAATTTTGATCAAGAAAGAAAGAGATGGGATCGGAGTAGAAAGAAGTGGAGTAAAAAACTAGGAGAGGTTGTTACTAAGAACCAAAACCTGCAGTTTGAAAATGCTAACAAAGATATCTCTCTTGCAAAATCCAAGGCTAAGTATGCTACAAAATTAGAAGAGATTAAATTGCTTCGCAATGAAATGGAATTATTGAAGGGTAAGTTAGATTTATCTCAGAAGGACTCATCAAAGAAAGGGTCCGAAATTGTGTCTCTCAAGTCTAAGATAGTTGAATTAGTTATAAAGATTAGCGAATTGGAGCGTCTAAAATCTGAGGATATATCGGGATCTATAGGTTCTGTGAGCCATGACCCAAAGGGTCGCCTAGGCACACAAGTGCCATTGTTCCACAATACGGCCTGCTCTACAATAATCGGTGGAGATGATAAAAAAAATATACAAAGTGAGGAACAAAGTTCCATAACCAAGTCTGATGATATATCTGCAGTTATTGAGGAATCAGAGATTTGAGGCATAGCCTCACCTAGCAAAAATCTAAGTAAATATTTTATACGCAGAAAAAATACACTGTGTGAGGAACAAAGTTCCATGGATCTAATAGAAAAAATTGATAGTAATATATTGACATATAATAGTGATGAGATTACCAAACTACCAAAAAATGATATCGTGATTAGTCTTAAGATAAATGAGAAAAATAACATTAGTGAAATTAGCGAGGATATTACACCCCAACCTCAAGAAATCCCAAATATAACTCCTTATCTTGCACAGCCGGAAAATTATAACTCCTCTTTGATCGAATCACACTCTCAAATTCCGATAGAAGGAATAGGAGCAATCCCTGTCATGGCAAGTATATTGATGTCACCTCTATTAGCATGTATATTACTTGCTCTGTTAATTATTGCCATTATGTGGTTCGTGGTATTGAGACGCACGTGGAATATAGATAGGCTCAAAGAGTCAGGATTCAAAGGGTCGCCTTATGGCCCACTTCACAATAAAAAAGTAATCGACTATGGGATACATGAATCCAATAACAGGCTGTCTATTTGAACTTCGATATTATTTATGTACAAAAAAAAATATAATTAATATGTGCCTTGGCACTAGCTTCGCTATTGTATAAGTATCTTAGTAGGGTGTCGCAATTCAATCAAGAATACTTAGATGCAAAACATCCTCATTATATGAGACAATATAAATCAATGATCAGATATCTTTTTTACTATTCTACATAATCGATAGTGTCTAAAGACATGCAATCTCAAGACCAACTGCCCTATACCATGTATTTCGGAATTCTGTTAACAACTCACACTCGGATTCCAAAATATCAGTTAATATATACTCTTCCAAAATTGTACTTTTAGAAATATGTGCCTTGGCACTAGCTCCGCTATACTTATGAAAGTTATTAACTAACTTATACAAATCTTCTCTATATCCTGTAAATGTATTCGAAATTTCTATGAGTAACATTGATAATTTTGAATGAATAGATTCCTTATGTTTATCTAACGCATTGAAATAAGAATTATTACGAAGTAATGAGACTCTGTCTCTAATTTTCTGTGGAGAATTTTTAATATAACTGCTAATATTCATAGTAGAGCATAATTTTTCGGCATGTATAATAGCATCTTTCCATAAATGAGAGATAATGGCTTCATCTTTTTTCGGAGCATCACGTAAGTTCTTAATATAATTTTTAAACCATTTTTTAGCCAATTTCTGTGCCTCTTCATCTTTAATTTTTGCTATTTCATCTTCATCTAGACTCGAAGAGTCATTGCTTTGCAGGCCATATGGGCATTTACTACGTAAATATAAATCCTTAGCAAGTTTTAATTTCTTCTCCTTAGATTTCTTTTTACAATCCAAGACTTTTGAGAGGGATTCAGGCGATGGTTGATATTTATCATCGTAATTTATAAAACGAGCATAGAGACCAAATAGACTTTCGATATAATAATCAATATTTATTTTCTTGTTGAACTTTTTTACCACATCTGGGTATTCC